CATCAACGCTTGAACTCTTTGAACATGATAGGCATGATAACCTTCTTCATGAAGAATATTTTGTATCGATGTTCGTGGTATTCTAAGGTTTTGTGCCATAGATCTCGTACTCGTTGAGGGATTCCGGCTAATTTCTTCAAGTACTACTTCTCTGCGATCCGGATCAGCTGTAGGATATCCTTCATTGCTTCCTCGTCCTGGAATGCGGCCTGCCATGAAAGTGTTATGTGTGTTAATAAAAACACGGTGGTCTGGGTAATGCTCAGGTTGTGGTCCGCCTCGGCGTATAAGTTGTTCCCGGTACAGCTGAGCTGCTAAAGCGCCGTTCCTTGAAAATAGCCTACCATTATTGCTGGAAGATTCAAGCCTGGAAGCCAGACGGAACATGGTGCTCCAGAATGATGGTGCACCATGCCACAACGCAACGATCGTGCGAAACTACTTAAACGAAAGGTTCCCAGACAGATGGATCGGACGAAACGGACCGATACGATGGCCTCCACGCTCCCCTGACCTCAACCCTATTGATTTTTTCGTTTGGGGATATTTTAAAGACATAACATTCGCCCAAGAATGTGCAAATGAAAATTCATTGAGGAACAAAATTCAAGAAGCGACACATGTGTTGAAAAACAACACACAAGCATTTAGAGATTTAAAACAAAATTTCATACGTAGGTGTACACTGTGCATTTCTGTTAGAGGCAGACATTTTGAAAACCTCTTGTAAATAACATAAATGAATAATAATCTGCTGTTCAGTAAAAATCAATCGTGTTTTTGTGGTTTTTGCAAATTTTTTTTCCGAAACTAACAATTTCTATTGAGCAGAGGGTTATCCAATTTTGGGTTCGGTTCTATTTGAGCCACAATTACGGTAGCATGTAGTAAAGCTAGGTTGATGAAATTTTTACGGTAAATAGCTGATTCCGTACGGAAGTTTTTAAGATACTTACGAATAGTAAGAACATGTTTTTTCAATTTTTTATAAACGTTCAAAGTTGTTGCACTTTTTTACTTTTTTGTTATGTTCGAAGATTTTGAAAAAAATTAAAAAGTAGTATTAGTTACATGACTTGAATGATTATATGATAGTTAAGCCTTAGGTCTTAGCTACATAATCGTGAAAAAAGCAGGCATTTATCACAATTATTAACGAAGTTATGGTAAAAATAAACACAGAACTCAAAAATTCTCGAAAAATCCGAAAAAAAAAATCATAACTCCTAAACTAAACAAAATCGGACCATATATATGGGGGTGATTTGGGTTCCTCTCGATGTGGGGAATCTAATTTTTTTTTATGACGTCACGTGTTTGGCCACCCTGTATAGGACAAAATCTGGCAGAACAATAATTGTCTAAGGAAAAGCTTTCATCACAATCCCAAGTATCTTTAAACATCATTGAATTTTATTAACTAAGTTTACTTCCTGTATGGTTTCAAAATGTTTTTTGCCTGTAAACAAGGAGTTCAAACTAGTAGCAGGGGCCAGTCAAAGATTTGTTTATCTCCTAATTCTCATAGTCTGTCGTGCGGATCAAAGGACATTTATCATAAACTGATCATTTCTTGACAGTTCTATCGTTATACTAGTATTTTTAGTGACATTTTTTAGACGATTTCAAAGCACGGCACCTCTTACATAATTTGCAGAGTGCGACACATGCCTAATGAAGGTAAATGTTTCCACCGGTAAGTATGATTATTATCTTAACTGTCACTTTCGTAGGTATTGGTTGTCAAATGATTATAACAAAATGTTAGCCTAAAATAAGCACTAACATACTCTCACAATGCTGATGCTTTAAGGAAACAACTAATTAACTACATATGCTTCATCTTGCATGCCTTCTTCTCAGCTTCATGTCCAGCTTCAGCCGCCCCTTTCTTCACTTCCTTAGCTTCAAACGACCCTTGCTTGCCCTCCTGCTTGTCAGCCTTTTCTGTTTTTTCAAACGCCTCTTCCTTCGCTGCCTTGATTCCCTTCTCAACATGTCCATCCTTCTTCTCTTGTGCAGCTCCAGCCTTAATACAGCACTGTCACTTTGGTAGGTATTGGTTGTCAAATGATTATGCACTAAAGCTATGCAATTTTGGCGACAAACAATGCGATGTAAACATATAGGCTTGGCTCCTTCTAATGTATGCAGTTGTCTGTAACCAACTGCTTATAAAGGTGTACCCAAGAGAGCTTACTATTTTGGCATCAGCAAAAACGGATCTATTACATTCGGCTTGTACAAAGTGAAAAAACCGTTCGTTGGAAAACACATCTCATAAAGCAAATACAGTCTGATACACATACCTAACTATGTCTGGTATCTGGTAAACCAGACCCTGCAGACCTGCAATACCTTTACCAAGAGCAAACTCCCCATGGTGCTCTCTGACGGACAATGATAAGTAGAAGCTCTGATACGCAATCTTATTGGTACATGAGTAGCACAATCATTCTGGCTCAAACTGTTTTCAAAACTCTGATGTATCATCATGTTTACCTTAAAGTTGCACGCCCACCAAGGCGAAGCGATGCGATATTTCGCCTTTTACAGACGTCAAACTTAGCGGTAGAGTTTCGCTTCTCTTCTCTACGGTGCTCTTTTCTTTACTTTCTTTCCCCTAGGTGAGCGTGCACCTGACCCTTTGAGTCGATATTGTGCTTACCGCCTTGATTGGAACATAAAAATTGATACCAAAATGGTGTCATCTAAGTTGACTCTACACTTGCCACACGCAACACCTCAAATTATAGACGGGTCAAGAATTAGCGAATAGACAGACAGACCAACAGTCCGACAGACCGATAGACCGACAGACCGGTAGACCGACAAACCGACAGACAGACGGAAGGAAATAAGTGACATTGTTTTTCGTGATGTACGTCATATAAAAAAAACGCAATATCTCATTTTCGAAATTTATCGTAATTACCTCGATCGAACGTCAGTCAGACATGCTTCTCGTCACAGATTTCATTGTATTAGTTTATAGTATTCGTTAACCTTTCCGAGAAGTGCAAAAAACCAAACTTAGGGTTTCAGTTAGGGCAATGGTCGTCGTTGCTATGTTGACAACTATCAGAAACTTTTATGTCGAAGCTTGCATTATTGAGGTGATCTCAGATGGACTACCGTTCCTCTCTTTCTTGCAGACTTAGCGGGGAGATATCATATGGAACGATACCTCATCCAACAAAAAAATGGGATGTTCCATTATTGACAAGTGTAAATAGTAGCATACATGTCTACCACTCGCCTGGTATCACATCACTTGTTTGTCTACGATCATGTGTTTTGACAGTGGAAGAGTTTTCAGGCAGTGCGTCACTTTTCGTTGTTATTTCTAAGTATTTGAGAGTACGAAGCCTTTATACTCATGACTTTTTTATAATGGCAAGATCATAGGATCGTCTTACTTTCTTTAGTCGCGCAAACCGAAACCCTTCTATACGTTATTTTCCCTAATTCGCCTTCGAAGCTTGATAAGGATAATAGGAAAACTAATAAAAGGAAATAAAGCACTTCTAGAATGACTAAGCCTATAGATGCCTTCCAGAATAAGACGATGAAATGGAAGAAATGAGGGAGCAGGATAAGAAAGGTACATCTCCGCTTTTTGTTCTTAAGCGAGTTGCCAAAGGATCAACAGCACACATTTAGCTGTTTTATATACAGTGCTTCTAAAAAGGTTCCCACTCTGCGTATTTTTTGTCCATTTCAAGCGAAATTCAGAATAATGAAATTGACGCAATAATGTAAAAATAACTGTTGAGAGTTTAAATGGCGAATGAGGGACATGTGTACCTTATCTTGAAGCTTTATAACACTAGAACATAAAATAGCGGACTGGTCAAAAATGCAAAGGTAACAATTGATTATTAAAACGTTATAGTTTGTCAAGTCAATCTTCATCTCTATTGGATTGTGCAATAAAATGTGTAACATTCCGTTTAAGAAAAATTGAAAGATTTTAACAATTTTCCTCTCATATTTTCCACACTATATAAAGCAAAACTGTCGCCGAGTAGCCATCTTGACTTTTAACGGCCAGTTTTACACTAAAACGTAGCATTTATTCAACAATTTCATTACTGCGAACTTCAGCTTCTTAATTTGACCCGCTTAGTTTGACGATTTTTACTAGGGGCCCGAATTTCGCACCTATTTTAAATCAGGAATATGTACGGCTTTTTTTAAAGATTTTGAACATGTCAAGTAAATGGCGTTTAAGAGTACATACTTCTAGCTATTTTTCAATGTTTTGTTCAGAAACAAAATTGTGGTCCTGTTCTTTTTCACTTTCCTTTAGTAACACTATTGCGATGATTGGAACTCGTCACTGTGGAACCTCGTGGCATGTGCAGATATCTCAATATCTCAGTATGCAGCATTTTAAAACAAGTTGGAATTCAATGCCTTCTAGTACATTAAACAAATTGGTTTGCCAACCGTTGGTCAACTCAAGATATCATCGAAGAGGTTTCAGCAGCACGAGATAAAATAATTTAAAAGCTAAGAGCTAGACCATCACACAGCACTACCGACAAGTGTGAAAATCTCTGTAGTCCTTATCACTTATCATATTTTCTCCTAATTAAGTCCTAAAATTTGTTGTAGAAACGTAATGAAGACAGACTTTGTGATTATCTTTTTTTACTTTTCAAGCAGTTATCTCCATTCGGGAATAAATTCTCAAGTAGTTTGTGGAACTGGAACGTCAAATGAAGCGAAATAAAGCAATTCGTTTTCCATTTTTTCCAAGCCAAAAGACAAGTTCTACTTTTATACACCTTTATTCCATTCTTATGCATACACAATTGTTTCCTATCAAGTACTTCAGATTACCAGGTAAGAGATCACAAATAAATAATTAATTATCATACTGACAGGCTGCTATTATTCAATTCGGATGCCTCTTGTTTGATAACACTATTTTTTGTGCTGTTTTAATAAAGGTGAAATATAACAAAATGTTAGCCTAAAATAAGCAATAGCATGCTCTCACAATGCTAATGCTTTGAGAAAATATCCAACTCCGGTCTCGCTCCACATATCTAGGTGTCACAACTATCATCTCAGAGTAAATTAAAAATCTGGGTCTACAACAAAATAACTACAAATGCTTCATCTTGGATGCCTTCTTCTCAGCTTCATGTCCAGCTTCAGCCGCCTCTTTCTTCACTTCCTTAGCTTCAAACGACCCTTGCTTGCCTCCCTTCTTGTCAGCCTTTTCTGTTTTTTCAAATGCCTCTTCCTTCGCTGCCTTGATTCCCTTTTCAACATGTCCTTCCTTCTTCTCTTGTGCAGCTCCAGCCTTCACCTCGTGCTTCTCACCCTTCTCACCTGATTTGGCTGCCTTGGCAAAGTCGTTCTTTTCTCCCTTGAAGGCTTTCACCAGGCCTTCATCGAGTTCGTCGTCGAAAATCTCTTCGGTTTTTGTGTTTTCGTCGATTTGTTTGGTGGTCTTGAAGCCGCGGATCACGTGGTTTTTCTTGTGCCCCTTTTTCGCCTTGGCTTCTCCTTTCTTGGCACCTACAAAATAGTTAAGTGAATATTGACGTCGAAAATCAGGTTTTGGGAGGGCACTGTTTATTTCAACAAGACCTCAATCAACTTGATGTGGGTATCAATATGGAAAAATTTGTTTGATTTGAAATAAACATATTATTTTGCGTTCCAACAAAAATAAAAAAGCCCGGTAGTAACACATAGGCTATGCATATATATATAATAAATTTTTAGATACTCAATTTTACTTCCCACTCCACTGGCGAAGAACTATTGTAGTCCTTGAAAAATCGACGTATTATATTTTTTGGATGTAATGACACCACTTAACCAGGTTACGCATTTCCGTCGGTATGTCTGTCTGTAAGTCTGTCGAACTATCTGTCCGCTAATCCTTGGTACGTGTATAATTTGTAAAGTAGCGTTTGGTTATAGATGGAATTTACCCGCAGTGTTAGAAGTATGCTAATGACGAAAGAGGTTGTGAAAATTGATCCAGCTAGAAAGAATCCCTTAGACTTCATTTTCTGACGTGTCGGGGCTCGTTATCACTTTTAGAGAAATTTTTGTAGGGGCTTAAGATTATCCTTATTTTACGCAAGTGTTAGACATATTTCACACACGGTAGGTTCCCCAGTACATTTGCCCTTAATACACTTGCATCTGTGGATATACCGGCATCAACGTCTGACCTTAGGGTGTCTATGCTTCGTGGTGGCTCCCATTCCGACTGATGAGTGGCAAGGTTAGTCACAGCAGCGTTGTTATAACGTAGGTGCTGTCGTAGAGCGGAAAGAAATTTCTAGAGACCAAACCTCATATGTATGCACCTTTTTGACTGACTTGACCTACTTAATGTGCTTCCCATTTGTGTCTCAGAGGGGCCAACTTGTTACGAACACAATCCTTTGTGAACTGATAACAGCGTTGCATGGGAAGTGCAACGTCAACCTAATTGACGCCACTTTTTTCTTCTGTTCCTCAACACAATCATGATAAATAAAAGACAAATCTAATAAAGAGCAATACTTCTGAAAAAGATTAATGACGACTGGAGCGAGGCTTATAAAGTGTTAACACAATACTGTTAAGGTCAAGCAGCATGGAGTTACAGATGCTGATAGAGTTTGCCCTGGTTAAGATCGGTAAAATGAGCAGAACTTCTCAACAAACATCTTAAGGCTAGTTATTCTAACAGACCTAGAAAGAACAGAGATTATGACGAAATGGAAATAATTTTTAATTTCGTTCACCTTCTTTGCCTTCAATCTGCTTCCCCTGGTAACTAAGGGCATCACTAACTAGCTGTTTCTTCTGTCCGCCTGAACTGTACTCTCCAGATTCGCCCTTGGCTTCTTTTGCTACAGCTGCTCCCTTTTTCTCTGCAGCCTTCTCCATTCCCAGCTCCGAAGATTTCTTATCGAGTCCCTTTTTGAACAAAATGCCTTTGAGGGCTTTCTGGTCTTTCTTGAAAGCTTCTTCTGCCTCTCCGGATTCTCCAAGGGTCTTCAGACTAGCCATGCTGCCCAAACCTTATAGACATAAACACAATTATATTAAGTAACTACATACATAAAGGTGAATAAATTGTGCCTTCATGTGTTTCTATGAAACGTTTTCGTCAACTATAATCTCCATTTCATAAGATACAGTGACCTAATAACCCTTCTTTAAAATAGTTATGTACTGGATACAAGTGATTATAATCCTCAAATTAAGTAAATGTTATTAATTTTCCAAAGCGTTGGTGTCATATTACACAATTTTCTTCTTCAACCATTTTATTGGAAACTTCAAAAAAATGAGGTAAATATTGAAGCTATAACAAACATCAAAATCTGTTACGCGTTACACAACACGTAATAGCATCGTTACACTAAACTTACTTCCAAAGTTGAATCCAGTCAAATCCATGTCCATATCCAAGAAGTGACCTCCCATTATATCCAAGTCACCCCTCACACTCGCACTTAGAAAGCACGCCGCCCCAAAAAGCAAGAGTAATGATGTCGACATTGACGGCATCTTTGAAATACTGTTTTTTTGTTAAGTGTATTTTGGAGCTTTATACCAAGCAATATACGCATGTTAAATTTGCTAATTGAACAATGCTCATGCTCGATATGGTAAGAACAGTTCTTTAATCAATTAGGCAATGCGAAGAGTCGATGAGATACCTTGTAGTGGTATTCACGGTTTTAGCAGGACAGAAATGGTAGAAGGACCGGTGTCCCCGTGACATTTCTTGAATTGTAACTGTACCGATATTCAGAGAAAAGTAACCTTATTGAAATAAAGACAGGACAAAATACCATCCATTAACAGAACTGAATTCTACTTGCAAACGGTACCGATATTTCGAGAAAAGTAACCTTATTGAAATGAGACAGGAGAAGATGCCATCTATTTAACAGAACTAACCAATGCGATAATGAAAATAACAAGCTGTCATGACACGTTCAATGCCCATGCTGAAAGCTGTACGTCAGTCCCCCATCATGCTCTGTTGGTTGTAAAATGCCTAGATAGTCTGTAGAGTTTACTCTCAAAAGATGAAAAGATGTGTGGTGTGGACATTTGCTATCTGAGAAAATTATTACTGAATTTGCTGCCCATCAAATATATCTATGTATAGCTGTACCAGGCGTGTTATTTGTGTTGTCCTTTCCGAAGAGAGGTGATGTGAGGTGATGATTTTCCCCGTTTTTTTTTATTTGCACAAACTTTCAAAAGCATTACGGCAAATCAGCACCGCAACCACATTTTCGCACTGCCTCACTTCTAGCCGGTCATTTCTAAATCGTAAAATATATTTCTATTAAATTTAAATGACTGGAAATAGAAATGTGAAGTGTAATAACTTTTTTACGTTTCACAAATATTCCTGTATTCACCATATTTTGTCACCTGTTAGTTTTAATCTACTTCACCAACGGATCACTTTAGGTCTATTTAATATCATTAACACGCAAAAAGAAGGCGGAAGTCGACTGATGAGGTACCACCCGCTAGATTTTCCCGTCGAGTCCAGAAACAAATATAACGAAGCGGTTCGCAATGCCAAAAACCAGCACAATATAAAAGTTAGGCACCGGGTAATGTCGCAGCGCAATGACAGTCGGTCTTTCTGGACGCTGGTCCAGCAGATTGAAAAGAACTACTCACACAGTAGCCTTCCACCACTTTCGTGCCAGGATGGAACGATTGTATCCGACTCAAAGGCAAGGCGGAAGTGCTTCGCAAGGTGTTTGCTGCCAACACACCCCAAAGAAAGGATCTAAGACCGACCCTTACAACTATAGGAATATATCTGCTTTCTGTTATAAGTACGGTGATGAAGAGGTGCATAAATCGCGAGCTCCCGGACTACCTCGAACGCTACAGCTTGATTAGCGACGGGCAGTATGGAACAATCTGCAAGATGAAGCTTTTCCCAGTTCTACTAACCTTAGGCAGTTCCAAGGTCGTATTATCAAAATTTCTTTGGGATCATAATAGCAGCCGCGGTGTTCCAGCATTTAGGCTTCTACCTGCGCGGCTGCTCCGATATAAAAAAAACCTAAGTCAATCAAGAATAATACAGAAAATAAAGAGAGAAGTGGATAAGCATAGTAAGCACTAGTGCAATGTTAGAATAGATTTTCATCATCTCGAAAGGACAGAGGTTTGGTGAGTTGAAGCCTGAGGTTCGTGGAGAGTTGTGTCCTCAACTGTTTGTAGTTTGTAGGATTTTACAGCACATGGCTCGTTTGCATTTCTGAGTTAAAAAACACCTCGGCGAACATACAGACTGTGGTGTGATACTTATGTCAAATCAAACCACAGAAATAGTTTACGACATTCCAGCCATCACGTAGAAGATTGATCAACAATTTGTCCCTGAATTTGTTCAAAGAACGAACCTTGAAGTACTGACAGAATCAGTGACATCACGCAGTTGCCGAATGGCTATTCCAAATAAGCCGATCCCAGAAACTGTTTAGGAACTTGATTTTTATTTGAACGTTTTAATTTGGTGACATATTTACCTAGAAATCAAAAAATATACTAATCAATATTCTAAAAGCAATTTTAAGAGATATACGATTATTTTTAATTTAGGCTAATTTAAACGCCATTTTGAGATTATATTCGACTGTATTTCACCAAACATCAGGCGGCATCCGAAGCTGGAAATCGAAGCGAAAATTTTGAAACCCTTATGTATATTTACATCATTATATATTTCTTACCCCACCCCCACATGATCCTATATCCATCACCAATCGTATACACATTGAATTGTGCTAATTTACTACAAAGTTACGCAAAGCAGCATCTACTATCTAAAATATGTACTGCGTGACTCTTAATACGTCAATGCCGAATGTTACAGGGTTCGATGATCACGTGGTCTTATTTATGTCCGGTCTATCTCTTATCTGAATATACTGTACATCCCCCAAGCTAAGCAAAACCACGGACATACTAGGGCAGTTGATTTGCAATTTAGTTCATATTCGATATTATCGGATTTCTTATGACATAATTAATAAGTGGTGCTTTATCCATATTCTGATTGAAGATATGTAACAGTAAATATGTCATCGCCCATAAATGGAAGTGTCACTTCGAAAAAGTCAATCGAAAAGTTAGCTAGCTCGAAAAAGTTCCCGCGCGCTTGCTAGGAACGCCACCTATGGAGGAATAGTACAATGACCTTACAGCTTAGGCGATGGGAGCTGTGACGGGCTCACGCTCTGAAACAGATGTTTCATCATATCACACAACCACAGAACATAGCTCAAGTATCTCGACATTTAGGCAACACATACTGAACCCTAATTCAGATATTACTGAAACAGAAGTGGCTCAACCTAGAAAATACCACCAGAAGGTTTTTCATGTCTAGAAGAAACTTACACCTAATTTCCATTGAGCGCCCGATCTTTCGTACATACATGACAAGGACAAAAGTGTGGCGTAAATCGACAGAAATAATGACCTTGTACTGCCGGTAAAACAATGATTGAAAGCACAAAACATTTTTATGAATATGTATGTATTTGCTCACAGGTGTATATTACAATGCTGAGAAAATATGCATTTCTTGAAGAGTTTCAGATAATTCACACGATGTATCCCATATAGATGATATATGCAGGAATGCAATAAATGCAATGTCCATAGTACGAAGATAAAAGAGATGAATGAATGATAATTTAGGTGATTTTTCCGAGCAAGAGCTACGATTTGTGTCAGGGTTCAATCCAAATCAAGTCTTCAGACAAATCGAAACGAATGGGTCACAAGAAAAGTTCTATCGTCCATCAAAATGATCTCACAAGACGACGATCCTATTACGACTACATCAGAAGTCAGACTTATACTTTCTTAAACATTTCTAGTTTTATCATTCGAATGATTATTGACACGTTGTAGAATGATCAAGTAGCTACTCTCTTAGCCACTTCTATTAAAAAACTTGATAACAATATCCTGCTACAAACTTTCTTTTGTAACTAAATAAATAGTACAACTAAAAGTCATTACAATAGCAGCAGTCTACATCATACCTGTTAAGATGTATGGTCATTGAAATGCATCTAATTTCGACCAAGTCGAGCCGTAATTCCAGCTTATTAGCATTTCATGCGGAATAAACGATTGTGGTTTGTTTATTCTTTCACGAATGAGTAGTTTTGTTCTATTAACCGCATAAAGGCGATAGAAGGTCGACAGTTTCATGGAAATATTCCTAGTCACTTATTCGCATAACCACCAAAATCATATAAAAGTGACTAAATCTGCGCTAACAAGGCATCGGTAAATGTGTTGAAGATGTTAGTCCAGTCTGATTAATGTTCATTTTCACAATTAAATAAGGACTTGGTATAATAAGGTTAGATCTTAGTTTCTTATCACAATTGCTAGACTGCGCTTACAAAATATTAAGTTCTACATGAAAACAGCCAACCTAATACGATATTCCCGCGTCCAAAAAGTTATCCGACATGCAACGAAGTACCGAAACGACGTGTATGACATTTTTCCATAGCCTCTCCTCTCCGTATCAATTTGAAAAGGTTTGAACCTCATAGATGACATTATAGCCAAATATCTGCTATATAATAATAATTAGTGTGGAGATAAGAAATGTACGAGGGTGGGCCGATAAGTACTTAGCATACATAAGAAAAACGAAAATTTTGAAAACGTGGTGATTTATTTCTCAGGAAAGCCTTGCTTTATCTCTGTACACTTCTTTAACCCGTCTGAAAAATACGTTTTCTCTTGGTGTGCAAACTAGGCGATAGCCTCTAACTATAATTTCTGCCCGGCGAGTGACTTGTGTTTGTTTGGAAATAAGAAGAAGTCGAATGAGGCCAAATATGGACAATACGACAGATGGGGCAGCAGTTTTGGCCATGGCGATTGCAGCGGTGTGAGACGGTGCGTTGTCATAGTGAAAGAGCACTTTTTTCTTCGCCAATTGGGGCCGTTTTCTCTGCAATCCGGCGTCGAATCGATCCAATAATTAGGTCTAGTAGAG